TATGACGAAGATCTAAGCCACTTACTATGGATTGGAGCTCCTTCATGCTCTTGGCATTCAAATGACCAAGGCATCAATGCCAAATGCCAAACTTATCTTGATATTGTGGAAATTCAGCAAATGCTGCCACTTCAACTCCATTCACCTTCTTACACTTGATGAAGTAGAAGTTGCAATCTCTAAAGCCCTTTGCAACATCATCTCTTTTCAATGTCTTTACAAAACATCTATTCTTATCAAATTGTATTTTACAACCATGTAAAACAAGTTTATTCATCGAGAGGAGCTTTGAAATAAATAAAAATAAATGACTAGATTTATCTAATGTGATTTCTTGTGATGTTTCATAAATTAAAAAAAATTAGAATATATTTTTTAAAACATGTAATAAATCCAAAATTTGTAAAATTTTCATGAATCAAGATTATAAAAATACATATAATCTTCTTGAAATCCAAATTTTCTAAAAAAATCTTTCAAATCATAGGAGAAGTCTAAATAATCATAGAATAATAGAAAAGTTGGAATTCAAGTTCTTATAAGTCTAATAGATTTTATAAAAGTAATAATATCATATCAAAAATCCAAATTCAAGTATATAAAATTGAATAAGATACAATCTTATTTAACCGTCTTTTAATTATAATAAGTATAGAACTTCAAAAGTTATTGGAAAAATCCTCTTATTATAGGATTGATATATTTTATTCTATTAATTTAAAATAATTATAAAATTTTTAACTAAAATAAATATAAGTAAGATATTTTAGATTAATCATCATTAAAGTATACTTATTCATATAACTTTACAAAACAAATTATAAAAATAATTATTTTTTAAATAAAGTTAAAAATTATAAAATCAAAAGTTTATAGTAGAGGCACATCAACAATTACAATTTAGCCCTTAAACCTTGCATTTCAAACACATCCAAAAAAAATAAATTTAAAAAAACTTAAATATTTTAAGAAATAGAAGCAGGAAGATCAAAAATATAAATAAATAAATAAATAAGCATATTAAGTAGAAAAACATTGAAAATATAAAATCTAAAGAGTATTTTAATTTAGTAAAATATATACACCCTAAACCTTAATTAAAAAGCTCTAAAACCACAAAGACATTAAAAAAATAAATTCTTCAGAAATATACAAAATTTATTATAACTTTTATTTACTCTTATACAAAAATGAGCACATGTATGAAGATGCATTGATAGCTTTCATATGTTTACAATTTTCTTTTATATATGAAATTGCAACCTCTATAAATTTAGAGATTTTTTCTCTAATCTTCAATATTAAAAAATTTAATTAAAAAAATTTTAAAAATTAAAATTCTATGACCAAATAATATAGGAAATAAAATTTGTAAAATTTAATAAAAAATCATTAATAAAGACTAAACCTATATGATAAATAAATCTTAAGAAAGTGATTTATTTAAATAAATAATATTTTCATTAATGCAATTTATTCTTGATAATGTCTTGGTTACTAAAAAAACTATCAATAGAAGTAAGATATCTAAACATGTATATGTTACCTTTATTATTATTAGAAATAATTTTTTATTTTTATTTTTTATAATATTATAAAATAATATTTAATAATTAAGTTTTAAGATATAAAAAAATTAGGTTTATATTCATAATCTCTATACATATTTAAGGTTATATTTTAAGATATTAATCTAGTAATTAGAATAATTTAATCTATATCAAGAGAGAATTTATAATTGAAATATAAGACCAATAAGGTAATTTTTTTACTTATCATTTTTTTATTATACTAAGAAAGTTGTTCAATTTTGTTATTTAAAAATTATGTAAATAAAATAAAATAAAATAAAATAAAAATTAAGTAATATAATGCCATTTGAAATACGAATTAAAAATTATATGTCAATATGCAAATAAATCCATCCTTATACTTAAAAGAAATGAATTTAATATACATGCCTTAACAAATATGATGTAATATCAAAATTAGAAATATAATAGTTTAATTTTATTGTCTACTAGTAATACAAGAATATAATAAAACCTCAATAGATAATTTAATTTGAATAGATTAAAGATTCTTTAAATAACTTAAGCAAATTTTTGGACATTCAATTTAGTCCATCTTTTCAAACTCAATATTTTGACTATTTTTAATTGAAAAGACCAAGCATAAACTTGATTATTAATATTTAAAAAAAAAATAAAGTAATAGATTAAGTTATTATTGACAATACCCTTTTTTTATCATTCATCTATTTTTTTCTAGGAATATAGATAAATTATTTGAAATTTATTTATAAAATTAAGTTATGTATAAATAATTATTTATAGAAATTTATAAAATCTATAGAAAAATTCTAAGTGTTATGGCCCATATATTATAAATTGATTAATTATATATATATATATATATATCTTTAAAAAGCCAAAAAAAATTCTTTATAAAATGGGTTTTAATTTCGTTCATTCTTTTTAAAAACTTGGAATAAATTCTTATTATATAATAATTTTTTTCTCTAATAAAATTATGAATTAAATTTAATAGAATAAAAACTTGAAAACTAAAAATAACAATCTTTTTTTAGTATTATTCCAATTCGTTCTTTAATATGTAGATGTTAAAGAAGATACAAGGTTTATTTTTTAAGGCCTACCAAGATCAAATTGAATTGAGTTGTTTTATAATCAAGATTCTAATTTTATATAAAAAAAACTTTTTTTAATCAATAAAATAACCACTTCAACAACTAACACAACAAGATAAAATAATCCCTACAAAAGTCTAAATAATTAAATTAATTAAAAAGTTTAAATAGTTAAATTAGCATATCGAATTCTTCTTTGCACTAATTAATGAACTTAGTTTTGATCTAAATACGTATTATTAGTCAACATAAACAAAATTAACAATCTATATTACAAAAATGGACAAAATCATAATAAATATGATCTATTTAGAATTGAATTTAACCATCAGAAAAGAAAGTATAATCTTAGAATCAAATTTCTTCTTTGATTAATAAGATGTGTGATTTAGATCCAAAACATGTACAAAACCTATGCTCATGTGTCTCATTTGGCACAAAAAAGTAATTGTTAATAAATAAAGAGGAAAATCTTGTCTAAATACTAATACACATTGTTTTCTTTGGATGCCTTAAAAAATTTGAAAATTATTTTATGAAAGTTCTAAAAATTACAAACATTTGAAGAATTTAGAACTAGACTACTTTGACCTTACAAAAAATAATTTTTAGCATCTAAAACTAGAAATTAGAAAAGAAAATTTCTTAAAAAAGATATGTATTTTCCTATATTCTATTCATAAGAGTTAAAATATTCTTTTCAATGTAATCCTTATTCAAAGGCCTTATTTATGGATAATTTGGATCCAAATAAACAAATATGAATTTGAAGAAAAAATATGGAATAACATCTACACCATAAAAATGATATAGGTAGAATTAATTGAATATGAAGAAATCTTATAAAAAACAACATGCAAAAAAATAAATAATTAATTAAAATTGAAAACAAAGAAATCCTTCTCAAACAATGGAATAAAACTCAGATCACAAGAAACATGATTGGGATTCAATTCAACTCAACAACTAGATGAAATTTAAATTATCCATAAATAAGGCCTTTGAATAACATGACTTAGATTTTTTTTCAACTTATTTGTTGCTCTTATATTTCCACTGTCAATAGGTGTTGGGAGATAAACTGCCTAGCTCTATAATTTACCATACGATTCATCCAATCGTCTCATATGTCCCGTTCGATGTCAGTAAAAAATAATATATAAAATAATATAAAATAAAAGTAAGCAAGCATTGCAAGTCACAGGTGCTAATTGCAGCATCACGATCTACGGGAGCGTACTTGAAATACGAAAGACGACGACGGAGTTCTTTCCCGGTTACATGGAGTTTGGAATGCACTTCGACTTGCACAGTAGCCTCCAACGGCGGCCGTCTCGGAGCTTGTACAGCAATTGTCTCGGGGCATGCAGAGTGCTTGACTTAACACGGGGGATCAGTAGAAACTATACAAGAAAAATGCAGAAAAGAAAAGAAAAGAAAAAAAAAACAAAGGGAGCTCGAAAAACAGCCACTGCTTTCGCTGATTCTGATACGGATTCTGATACGATACCTCCACGCTACCCTCAACGAGAGGGAGACCTTGCTAGGCTCATATCTGGCTCTCGTCCACTAGTCGGCCCATGTGTTGAGCCACCGACTTCTTCCATCTCCTGCTTCAGTCCAAAGTGAGCCGCCTCCAACAACCTGGTCAAGAGTCCTTCTCCATCACTTATTGCCGAAGGGGAAAAAGGGTAGAACATAAATAAAGGAAGAAAGGACAAAATGAAAAAGAACTACTTCGTATGGTTTTTTCCCACATTTAAGAGCGTCACGACAAATGTCATATATGAGACTCTAATTCCACGAGGAGCAAGACTTTCCCCATCTTTTGGAAAGTGCACACTCCGTGAAAATAATAATGTCTTGCCTGAGTAGATCGCCGTTGAAGATTGGTTGCTGATGAACACTACTTCACTGAGAGTATTGTACAGGTGGGTGCTCGAGGCAGAGACGGGATTCAGATAATTGCACGATTTTAAGGATATGCACTTAGGTTTCATATCGTAACAGACTTTGCTTGGAGGTTAACGGATAAATGTAATGTGAATACAGTGTCGGGGGCACTGGCTCCAACAAAGACAGCTCCTTCACTTACTTTCCATGATGGGTTTTGCATCAGGTGCTGCGCGTCTTTGCAGGACGAGCCACAGCCTTTTGCAGAAGATCCGTAGAAAATTGCATGTGTGCCTGACAACAGCTAGTTCTGGGTTGGAGGGGTGGCTACTTTCGTGCTGTGAAAAAATTCAGCCGGATCGTTCAACTCAAGATTTGTATGGATCAGATCATTATGGGAGTTCCTCGAACAATTGGAAAATTAGAGCCATTAGTAATTGTATGGTTACAACATCTGTTGGATGAATCACCAAAAAGCACTTGAGATTAAAGTAAAATAAATGAAAACAGAATTGATTGCAGCAGCTTCCTTGCGACAGCGTATTTCTTACGAAGGGTTCTGTTGGGATCCGATCGCAACGAGCTACGCCTGCTTGAGGCGACTATAACCACCTGCCACTAGCCCTATGCTTTGCGCCTTCGCTACAACAATTCTACAAACCGTTCGCAACTAAAGACTAATTTTTCAAAGCGAAATCGGGGGGGGGGGGGGGGGGGGGGGTTGTGCGCTAAGCTGGAGTGGTACAAGCCCAGCCATCACTCTACCTACGATGACTTCAGGCATAAACTAGTAAGCAAGTTCTGGTTATCCAATTTAATGTACACTACTACAGTTGCCTCCGAATCACCTCGCATTAATGTGTCCAGGCACACAAAACAGTGCTTCGAACTGCGAGGCAGTCTCAGTAGGCTATCTTGACGTGCTTCATGTAGTTGGGATTGTACAAGGGAATTTGAGGACCATAACCCATGTGGTAATCGGGATAGAGAGGCGTGTAAGATTGGCTCGGTCTGTAGTCGAATCCGTAAGGAGGATATCCGTAGGCAGTTCCATACGTGGAGTAAGGCGGGGGATACTGCACTTGCGTTACCACAGGAGTGGAAGATTCTTCCTTCTTCTCCTCTTTCTTCTCCTCCTTCACTTCCACCTTCTCCTCCTTCGAGTCTTCCTTCTTCCCCTCCGCCTTGACCTCTTCCTTCTTTTCTTCAGTTTTAGGGTCTTCCTTTTTCTCGTCTTCCTTTGGCTTCTCCACCACCACCTCCTCGACCACTTGAACGACTTGGGGCGGAGGTGTTGGCCAGAACGTTGCGTGCCTATCCACCTTCCTCGCCCTCTTCAATACCCGCTCTGGGTCTGGTCTCCCAGTGACAGTCACCTTGGAGTTCTTCTGGTCGACTTCCACGTTAAAAACTCCTGCAAGAGCAGCATCGACACTAGAGACAATTAGTTCAAGCTGTTCCAATTTGACGCTATCAGTTTTGCCCTCAGCATTCTCAGAGTTGCGTCCGCACTCAAGAGAATCTTCACATTTCCCAGAATTGGCGACCAAAGAGGAAAACCAATCCATTTGAGAAGGAACGGTCGCAGCTTACCGCCCAAGTATCTGATTTCTTCAGCCACTATCTCCGCACATTTGGGGCAACACATGTGCACCTTTAGCTCAACTTTGTGCAATGCGATTCTCTGCGCAAGCCACCAACTTAAAGATAAATAGTCTATTGAACAAACAAGTGACATTTGATTAGATTCTCTAAGGATGTGCTTGTCTATTCCAATCTCTAAGTTAGCTAAAACAATGTACCAGAGGCAGATTTAACGGGACATAGGCAGAAGCCGTCTTCTAAATAGTGAAATGCGACACGTAGAGAAAAATTTGACGGCGGAAAACCACACACAGAAAACGATCTCTTTGGCGCCAACTAACTTACGGGCATTCGATCGGCGTGTTCCTTTGGAACTTGTACAGGAATGTACCAAGCGTTCTTGTCCAGCCATGGAGGTTGGGGACCTCCACTGTAGCAAATCTGCACACAATCAAACCCAGCTGAGTCTCTTAGCAACCAACAGAAGGCGACCACCTAACTTTTATGGAAACATCAAAGAATTGATGACCTCCATGGCAAGAATATATTGTAACAAAGCCTGCCAGATGCGGGAAAAAGCAACAACGATTCTTACTATTCTACTCCGAGGCCAACTCTCTCGAAACCACGCCTAGGTCCAGAATTCGCGAATACAGAGGAAGAATAACTGGTGGAAGCAGCGAGAGAAGGCATTCTCACCTCGGTCTCCGCCATTAAAAACTTGCGAAGTCACTGACCAAATATGCTTAAACCACAAACCCGGTAACCCTTTCCCGCAACCAACACCCCGGGGTCCAGAACAAGGGATGAATTAGGGGCTTGAAAACCGTCGCAGTTATAACACACTGCGAAGATGCAACCCACGAGATAACCAAAACCTCTTCCACCCAAACTCCACGCACGCACGCACGCACTCTCAACAAGCAAGAGCCAATTCACGACAAAGCATAAAGTTTGGCGCCGATTCGCAACCTGATGAACAGCACGACTCTAAGCAAAAGCCCCCGACGCTAAGGGAGTGAGGAGCAGTTGCGTTGGTACTACGCCCACCCCCAAATAGACGTCCAATCACAACAACAACAACACGCTCGTGCTCTCAGAAATCTCCGGCCTATCAGAACCTGAAACCGACAACTGGGGGGTCCTTCCGGCGACAAGTGTTGTGCGGAGCATGCAGTACAGAGACAGATGGGAAAATAGAGCAAGCCATGAAGATGGTCACCAAGCACAATACTCCTTTGTGTTTGCATGTATATATATATATATAAAGATGAGCAAACGAGCTTAGCTGGCAATGCAGCGCGGGGGAAACAGCAACAGCGGGTGGACTGCAGGGGATGAATCCCTGCGAAGCCTCTAGAGGCTCCAGCAAAGTGGGTTGGGTGGCGAGCACTTTCGATCCGCCGTGGGTCCCTCTCGATTCCCCAGGAGCCCCTTCGCAACTCGTCGCAAGCAAATCTGGTGGCCGATTTCCTCCTCCTCCTAGTCCCCGTCGGTAAAAATTTCTTCACCAGTTTCGTCAGCTCGTGGATCCAAGACTTGGGTTTTTTATTCGGTTCCAGCGGCCCCTTCCCTCTAGATTGATACTTGGATTAAGGTTAAGTATGTGGAAATTGATTGAAGAAGATTCACATAGTTCAGAATAGTTGTCATTTTCATAATTGGGATTTGAATTGCCAACCTTTTTTACTTTTTTATGTGCTTATTTCATGAACTTGGTACAATAAGGGGATCCAGACTTAAGGTTTTAGGGAAACCAAATACGACGGATCACTCAAAATATCACCATTCAAGTGATAATAATATCCATAATTCAAACTTTATTACCCCTGGTATGGAGTCAAAGAGGGAAGGAAGTTAAGGCAAGCAAGGCAGTTTTTGATATTTTACAAGCTCCTCTTTTGATATTTGGATTTCAAAATCGCCCACCTTGTAAGGTGGGTGATTTGGTGAAGTATCAATTAATATTTCAAAATATCACTCATCATACGTGAAATATCATTCAAAAAACTTAAGTCTGATTCCTCTTAATTATAATTTTTAGTTGTATGAAGTCATTAGGGATTGATGAGAACAATCTCAAATTCCAAACTTGGAAAATTTTGACACAATATCAAATAATGATGGTTTGAGAGTTTTTTAGATTTTATGTTTTTTAAATTTTTGTCACACTCTCAAATTTTAACATAATCTTTAACTTATATAGCTATATTCTACAAGAAGTCAAAAAAGATTTTATATATTTTTATGTATAAAAATGTTTACATAATTGACCACTCATTCATAAAGTTTATATTCAAACGTAATTTAAATAGTAAGTTAACGTTGATGTCCCTCTGCACTCTCTTTTTTTTTAATTTAAAATATTCAGATTATTCTTTTTTTTTCTTTTTTTTTTCCATGTTTTCTGTAGTATCTAGAGGATTTTAAAGTCCAAGTAGTTGTGGTGTAAGATTTATAGTTTAACATAATTTTACTTAACAATTTGGATGTTGATAAAGTGGAGATTGAATTACATTTCAAAATTGAATGTGGAATACTTCTCCTGATTTAAAGACAAATGATTCATGATCATGACTTTAACTCCATTTGTGTCCATTCAATTTGTAATTTAGAAAAATGTAATTTGTGTTTCTGTATTCAGAATTCTTTAACTTGAATGTGTACATGAAACTGTATTTTTTTTTTTAAAATTTAAGACTTTTCAACAACACCAAGATTACTTATAACTAAATATTTTGGAATTGTACATTATACATATTAAAATAATTGCAAATCAAAAGTTTGTAATGCATACAACATGAACTTGTTTTAGAAGAGTATAATCATATTTTAAATTTAATACTGAAATTCGTAAATTGATCAGTTTCTAAAATAGATATGACAGTATAATTCTTGGATATTTCAAAAATGGAAATATGAAATTGGTATTTAATAATAGTTACAATAGTAAAGAAGAAAGAGGAATATGTATCATTTGTAACAACATTACCTAAAACTTAGAAAAAGTATATTTTATTTTCTGTTTAATTCTATTTTTGTACATTTTGATCAAGGCCATGCCATTGACAATCCGTCCTTATAAAAGACCCATGATTTATGACAAAATCATTGATGAAGTATAGCACTAGAACAATACAATTTGATGAATGCTAGGTATTTACAAAAAAAAAGAAAAAAAAAAAAGAAAAAAGAAAATATGTATAGTTGATAACAAATATAGATTTATTTATTTGTATTTATCTGATAGAACTTGGTCATGGATACACATTATTTTGTCTTTCTATTTATTCCTACATATTTTAATACATTTTTTCACGTTGAATTACAATTTGGATAGAGAATAATGTAAAAATTTCTCCTCTCAAAATTCTGGCAAGTACCAACTGCTTTATTATCCTTCTTTGTTATTTTAAGGATTCTTTTTTTTATCAAGCTATTTTCAAAGTTAAAAAAATAAATGAATTTTACAACTTATTTAAATCAAATCTGAAGAAAAAAAGATATTGTTCTAAAAGTCAGAATTTTCCTACTCTAAGAGCTGAGTCAACTTTGTGGTAAAGGTTATGGATGAGTACGAAATGATAGACAATGCGACACTTGTATTGGCTATTTGTTTTGGGAATTTCCTGTTTTTATAAATATAGATGTGTCCTTCGATATTCTTTTCAAAGGGTTCAATCTATAAGACATGAATATATGCCATCCATGGCAATTACTTTAATTAGACTATTTTGATATATATATTTGCAATATTTCAAAAAATAAAGAATTGTTCTATCTGTTGTTTAATTTTTTCGTGAGTGAAATTTACTTAATTTAAATTATTACACACCGTGTTAAATAAGACTTCTGATGTTTAAAAACAAGATTGTCAACTAATACTACTTGTGAATCCCAAATTTAGGTGTAAAGTAACTTTTTATGCACCTCAAACATGAATTTGTTTTAGATTCTGAAGTATCATTAATTAAGGTTTAAGCCAAACTTGAAAGTCGGCAATATTTGCATTTAACATTACGATCCACGTAGATTGCCACGGATAAACACCAGCATCCCGCTTCGATGGATAAACATCAACATGTGGAAATCCTAATTTTAAGCTTGAGGGCCCTTATCATAAAATCGAAACATAGAAATGGTTGTTTTGAAACTCACGAAGAGGCGCTTGACTCGCCAATTAAGACTGAATCAAAACTAAAATTCCAGATTATGCATGTTAGTTGGAACCCTGACAGCCCTAACAAACCACCTAAAAAGCAACGATGCTTCCAATTCCTGGTGCTCGAAGGCTCAAAGCTCAAATAACTCTAGTTCATCCTGGCTTCTTCGCACGGCGAAGCCACTCGACATAATCCTTTGAAGCGATTCGAGAGGCTTCGTATCGAAGAAACCCAACTATCGTGGAATTCTCGAGGTGGGTTTACAGAATTTCCGAGGTGGGTTTATGGAATTTCCGACGTGGATTTATGGGTTTGCATGCCGTTGAAGACTCGAAGTGTGGGATGGAACCATCCAAACCCTAGAAGCTGCATTAGTGGTTGTTGTCACCCAGGGTTTTAGGGCACCTCCACTCCAGCCATACAATGCGTGGTCAAGTCAAAAAGGACGCTTTGGCTACAACGACAGGAACGGAGAGAGAAACCTCTGCCGTGCACAAATGTCATCACCTCAGATTTTTCTTCCCAGCCAGAGGGATATGGATGAATAACTTACATGGAGCTTGCGAAGAAGGTGACAAGGGCGAAATGGGATCTCAGGAGTGATGCCTTTTGAAGCTCCCATAATGACGAAAGCCCGCTTTCTGGCTCGGGAAGACGATGGATTGGGTGAAGCGATTGGCAATTGTGTCAGCAAAGGTACCAGTGACTTGACGCTCTTGCTTTTTTGTGTGTGTCGAGTGCCTAGTCTTCAAAGCACTACACATCAGAGGTCCTTTTTCCCAGAAATCCTCGCTCGGGACAACCCCACAGCTACTGCCGTTGAGGCGTTAGCGGCCTCGTGAGCTGGGAGGTGCTTCGCAAACCTGCACATTTCAATACATGGGACAAACTGATTCTACCGCCTTAGTAAAGAGCGACGTCTTTCACTTAAACACAGAGTACTTTTGCGAGCAAAACAAGACTTAAAAATGGACGTCTGCAACCATTGAAGCGACTGAATTTTACGGTTCGCTCACGGTTATTATTTTACTTATTTCCCCTTCGAGTATCTTCTCCTTGTCATGAAACTCTTGTGGGTAAATGTCGATTTTATTGGAATGGGAACCAAAGCATGCTTCAACCATCCCTCACCGGACCCCACCCTCTCAAAGCCTGTGAAATGTTACTTGTGTGACTTCGACAACTGTTTTTTTTTCTGCCAGGATTTTTTTTGTTGAATCAACTTACAAATATTCACGGACACGAAGAACATCAAATCATCATGATGTGAACAAGACGCCCTTTGTTGGGTTGAATAATTGTTGGCTATTACAGTTACTATCCTGGCTCCATGTTAATGTGTAGAAAATACCATGAGAATTAAGAGTCGAGTCTGGCTGGCTGCCGACAGAAGCTTCTTCAGACTCGAAAGAAAGGCACTTGTTCAGATATTACGCAACCGTTGCAACGTAAATCTGTGCTCATCCTGGGCACAGCCAAACCGACCTGAAGTCAGAGAATTCTATTAATCAAGGAAGTTCGTTGGGCTGAAAACACACACATATATATACACAAACCATCACAGTGGAATCCTATGGCACCTCCTAGCTGTGGCATGACCTCATTTCTCTTCGTCGGTGGCATCGTACTCAAGGGTCACGGAAGACCTCGGAAGCGCTGCCAATGTCCACAGGAAAATCTCAAGGGTGCGAAGGATTTTCAGTGACCAACCAGCCTGAAACGACTTCCTAAACTTGTACTCCTTGCCAGGTCAAGCACCATGTTATTTGATGCTGCACCTTTCAAAACCAGACAGACTGTCCTGCTCACAGAGCTTGTGTGGTCCCCGAAGGTGAAGTGAAATTTATCTCTTCAGTGAGTGACTTGGAGATGAAATACAGGAGTAGCCAATGAGCTAGAGTTACGGGGTTGTAAGTTGTCTTCCGATATAAACAACCAAAAGCCTCAGTCAGTCACTGGTTGGTGTTGGGAGGAAGTGTGGCGGATCCTGGTTTGGTGATTGCTAAGCCTGTTCATGTGCTTCCAGGACTTTAGTCCGGCCACTGAGTTCATTCTCACATTCAAAGAGATACCTTCCAGGTGA